TGGGACGACAGGCACCCACCACAACACCAGGCTACTTTTTTGTTGCAATTGTCATTGTTTAGCTGGCCTGGGCCAGGTTCAAACCGTCACCCTTAGTGTATGTGACTGGTGCCATAACCACTGGGCTACAGGCACTGAGCCTATTGATGGTTTTCAAAGCATATAGTTGGTCATAATCAAAATAATGGCAACATACATATATGTATATATCTCATTATGACCAATTTAATAGACATGTATATAAATATGCATTATATTCATAAATACAAAGTAGCCTTTTATTCTCTTAATCATTCTTCATTATACCCCAGCATTTATTTGGACAGGTACTAACTTAAAGTTACTATAACAAGTGGCATTGCCACCTTACTTTTTAAATTAGGATTGGGATCATTTTTACTCAAGAGTGTGGGAAAATTTGAGCTCTTATTTCTAATTTGTCTATGAATACCTATTTTGGTAAGACATCTGAGACATTGAATTGGATTCACCAACACAGTATTCATTTGGGTAGATTCCCACAGTCTGCCTTAATCAGAGCACTTTAAATGCAGTGTGATCTATGTTCCAATGAGGAATATTCTTGTCTATCCTAACCCTGCTCCCTACAGGCTTTCATTAGATGGTGTGGCATCTGCTTTGCTTAACTATTTGGACTTTTGTTATTCCATGATAGGCAACACTCTATTGAAACAAAAAGCTAACTGAAAATGGATACTTCTTAAGAGTTGGTGAGCAAATCTACACCAAAAGGGACAGGCTCAGTTTTTGTGAATTCAGGATCAGCAGCAACTGTGTCCCAAGCTGACCACCGTTTTAGCGAGAGCTGGTCGCTGTGGTCCTGGCTTTGCCCCCAGCCATCTGCATGACCTTGGAACATGAGTGCTCTTCTTTGAGCCTCAGGATCTTATCTAAAAGATGAGGTGACCTTTAATCCCTTCCAGCTCTTAAATTTTTTGATTCTGTAAAGGCCATGAGTCTTTCTGACACTAACCCCCCATCACCACAAGAGATCAAAGGGCAAAGAACTCAGGGCAGATAAAGGTCGAGCAGCACATTTACAGGCCAGTGTCTCCACACCCAACCCAGGGCTCGGGAAGCTCGTGTTCATAGTAGTATCTCAGAATTCTTTAAAAACGGGCTGAAAAGAATCAGAAAACTGCTGTTAGGTCAGGCCAATGTTAGGAACACTGAGTGGGTCAAGGATTTTTGTTGACATTGGCGTGTTTTGCCATCACTGGAGACCATGTGCTTTCCATACTTATCAGGAGCTTCATGTATTGAGACTGTATCCAGACACCAGGAAAGAAACCAAAAAGCAAACAAGAAAGAAACTTTATAACTCAAAAGAATAGAGTTAAACTTCTTGAAATATTTTTATGAAAGCCTGCAGAATCTTTTCACTGGAGAATGCCCCAGGGCCCTCAGAGACTACTCTCACCTACAGAAATAAAGAAAAAGATTATTACTAGCTCAAGTTGATTGAGCCCATACTGTGGGTGAGGCACTGTCCTTGATGTTTAACATGTCTTAATTTATTTAATCCTTACAAAAAACTTTATAGTGTGAATTCTCTTACTATCCATTTTGCGGATGAGGAAACAGAGGCCAAGTACCTTGACATTTCCCTTGAAAGCCCAGGCCCCTAACCATCGCACCACATGACGTTCTCCACCGCAAGTGGAGCAGGGCTCCTAATCACAGACCTACTGAGAGTCCGTCAAAAGCATAGGTAACCGACAAAGCTCAGAAACTCGTAGTCATTTGGGAAGCAAAAGCAGGTCTTCATCTGCTTATCTGTTAACTTAAAAGCTTCTATATATAGCATTTACTCTGTGCCAGAAACTAACCTCCTTACTTTTAAAATATTAACTAATTCTATCCCCTTACCAACCTTTGAGTTAAATGCTACAATTATACTCATTTTATACCCAAGGTCACTGAAGGCCAGAGAGGTCCAGTAACCCACCCGTGTGACACAGCTGGTCAATACCAGAGCCAGGATTTAGAATAGGGCAGACCCACATGGGCATCCTTGCTGTCAAGCACTCTGCCACCTGTTGTGATACCTCCTCAATCTACCCATTGTATTGTAATCATGGGGATTCAGTTATTCACTTGGCGGTATTATTGCTACATCTTAATTTTAATGTTGCTGCAAGACAATATTAAATATGCATGACTGATGAGTTTCAAGAAAAGATTAGACTTATTTTGGTATAGTGAGTTTAAAAAGTCAAGACTCCTGTGCACATTTTAGAAGGGTTCTCACTCAAAACAGTCATTTTGTTGTTACTGTTTTGCTGTTTAAAGTATCAAACTCCAACTGTTTGAAAACCTCAGCATCAGTGCTTTCAGGTTTCTTGAGGATACTTGATTTTGAATTTTCACTGCATTCGAGAGTAGGATTGCAGTTGTGTTGAGAGGAGCCACCATAGTGACTTCCTAAACTGAGGAGAGTACCAAAGGGGAAAGGGGCTATCATTTAATTTATTAAACATATATTAATATAATTATTTCTGGATCAAGAAATAAGCCATTTTCTGTAATTCTCTTATATAATCCCCTCCAACCTTAAGCAAAATAAATAAAATATTCAGCAGAAAGGACATTCCTTGACATGGACTGCAAGTCCCAAGAAGCCTACTAAGGGGCATTTGACATAGCTTGTGTCTAAGTCGTCAGCTGTGCTTTCCCCGTCATCTCCTTTGGTGTTACTGAGGAGCAGGCTATCTGCTCAGCATTAGGAGCTTTAGCAAACACCACTAAATAAAACAGAAAACCAAACTTCTGCAGCCATCAGTCATCTGACAGGATGGTTTCCTCTAAAGGATACAACGCTTTCACTTGTTTTTAAAGGAAGGGCATGTTTAGCCCACAGACATCTCTTAACCTGCTTTAGGGCTTCACTAATATCTGGCACCATCCTTTGAAGTGCCAGTGCTTTCCAGGCTCTCCTTACCCACTTAAAGTTATATAGTGTGCAGCAGGATCCCAATTAGCAGAAATCAGTGAAGGGTAAAACACGGCATTACTCAGAGAATATCTTATTTAAATTGTACAGCATGATAAAATACATGAAAACAGAGTTGCTGCGTCTCATAAAAGAAACCCGAGATTTAAGAATGGGTTTAAAATACACGATTGGAAGCTGCAGACAGAGTGGTGAGTGGCTGTGTTCAAAAGAGAGCTGCCTCCCCAGCCCCCTAACCTTTTTTTTTTTTAAAGATTTTATTTTAAATTTTCTAAACCTAAGTACAGTATATGGCTTCCTTCCACAGCTCTGGGGTGGATTCAGCAGTATTTTTTCCAGATCAGCACATCAACTTCAGATCTGTGACACCGGCCAGGCAGCCTGAATCAATTAATCTGAAAGCCTCGAAGAGCATGGACCTGGGTAAGCCAGGGAGAGGTGACATCCAGGTCATCTCTCCAGCCTCAGCCCATCTATCTCCCCCAATGTCCTGGTTTTGTTTCTTCAACTGAAGCATCAGGGAGCCAGGTCTGCAGAGGCCGGGAGTAAGGGACAGTCCAAACCCCTTACGTTTCTTTAACTCACTTGCCTTTGTGTTTGCTCTGTCACCTCTGCCAGTGAATTTCCATTCCGTATGGGCACATGTGTGGCAGAGCCTGGGAAGAGCATGTGGTTACATGAGTCCCCTCCCTCAGGGCCATCCTTCCCTTCTCCATGTGTGACAGATGGGGATGGCAGCAAAGGAGAAGATTCACCTCTTTATGTGCCTGTCCCCCAAATACAGTGACATCAGTGGGCAGAAGGAAGGGTCCCTGGGGCTTGCCAGACTGAACGTGTCAAGGTGCCTGGGCCTATATTTAAATAATTTCACTGAGGTTCTGAGCACTGCAGGGAATATCTGGGTGACTGTTGGCTGCCAGGGCAGAGCAAGGGCCCCTGTCAACTGTGTATATAAGCCCTGGGACATGGGAACCTGGAAGACATCTCAGATGAGAAAAACCACTGCCTTTCCATAGGCTCTTAGAACACTAGTAGAGAAGAGTGTGGATGCAAAATACTCATTGCTTCCTGAAGACTCAGAGGCCAAGATCTGCAACTGTATGTTCTTGGGGGCATATTATATATTTCATGAGTAGCAAGAAGAAAATAAAATAATCAAAATTGCATGCTTTACCCAAAAAACTGATAAATAGTGCTTATCTGTTACTCATTTACAGGAGTCCAGGAAAATGCTCAATCATGATAAAACAAGAGAAATTGATTCTATTTTTGTATAAATGAACTAAATCACTTGGATGCATTTGCTCTAATCACCTACAGTGAGAGACAGATAGAAAACCTTAACAAGGAAGCTGTCTTGAGCTCTGGTCAGAAGGGTATTTTCTCGAGCACGAACCCTTATCAAACCAAAGGAACAATGCGTGACAGAGACATAAGTTATTACTAATACTTTAAGGAGTGGTTCATTTTTATAGAGTGCTTGATAAACATTTCCTGTTCTGTCTTCCCAATTTCTCTATAAAGAAGATGAATAGCCAAAAACTACTTTTATTTTTGAGGGAAGAAATTTATTGCTGTTTTCCTCATTTAATTAAAAAGAAGAGATCAGCCAATACTGTGGTTCTAAAAAGAAATCTATGCAAAAGAAAATAAAATAACATCCAGATTAATCTAAGGAGAAAAGATATCATCAGATCTATAAAAAGTAAAAGCGAAGGCATGTCCAGACATAGAATTTCTGTTTACACTTTTTGTTATTGGAATCTTTGTTTCTGAAACATTTCTCTTTTAAATTGAAATAGTTCTCGCAAAATGTGAAGACTGAGCAGCCATCCATTGCATTTTATTGTACATATATGTCAACAATAATAGAAATGTTTGTTCTCTTTACAAAGTTGGGTACATCATGAGCTCTTTTCTTTAGGATACGAGCACCAAACTAAAAGCATTGGTTAAAATGCAGCACACAGCAGAAAATCTCAATAACATATATAAAAATATCAAACTTTGGTCCCGTCCAGAAAATGCCAATTCAAGGCTAATAGTCTTGCAGAAGGCCCTGAACTTCGACATTCTGGTGGCGGTCTGATCCCTTCTCCCCAGAAGAGTCTAATGAATGAGCTTAATAAATATGTTGGGTACTCAAAGAGTTAACTCAGGTAATAAGCCCTAGTGGTAAACATTTGAAAGTATCTTTCCCCAAATATTATGATGACCTTGAGTCATGATACTTGTTTGTACCCTCACATTAACCTGAAATTAAAAAAAGAAAAAAAAGTGTCTTTTCTATTTAATGTTAGGAATAGGATAGTGTATGTAGTTTATTTCCATGTATATAGTATGGATCCAATGTCAGAAATTATTTTTTTTTTTTTGCCAAAAAGTAGGTGACCGTATTTGTAAGAATAATACTCTGAAGGAACATCAAGATCCATTCTTTTTAAAAGTTCTAAAATATCCTAAAATATTTAGGTTGAATACCAAGTTAGTGCTGTTTGATTGTTTTTGACGTGGAAGAACAGTAGTTTCATATGGTTTTAAATAAAAAATAGAGAGCAAACCCCCCATTTATTGTGTAACTAGTGTATATTGGGTATTCTTTATAAAGCCTGTAGGAATCTTCGAAGGTTAATCATGGACCCCATCAGCATCATCTTCATTTGCGTTTCATTTTGGCTACTGAGCCTATGCTAGTATTTGAACTTGCATATTAATGAGACACTGTTCCTGTGTTCAAACTGGGTTCCATTTACTTATTTTTGCTTAGATTTCCAAACACAGACAATTCTTATCATGGAAAACAGAGCCTCCCCACTCCCTGTCTCTTTTCCCTAGTCCACAGAAACAAAGATATATTAAAAGTACTTTGCTATCCATATCCGTCCCCCTGTTTTCCTTCCCTATTATGTACATGGCCGTATCACGTGGTCTTTCTTGATAATATTTGTATAGTGGCATAGTCCTGAATCCTGATTTTCAGTTGAATTTTCTCTTCCCCTTTTGATGGAATGTGGGATTCACCAGGGGTCTAATTTTTGTTTTCGCGGAGTTTTTTTGTTTATTAGTATGTTTTATTTTTTGATTTGCTCACTTATATGCTTTGCCGCCAAGGTGGCTATTCGTTACTTCTCTTTCTTTTTCACGTTTAGAATTTTGTTACACATGTCACAAATAATTTCAATCTATTATTTGTCTTTTTAGTTTTATTGTGATATCCTTTACCATTAAACAAGATTTTCATAGTACAGTCAAATACTGTGTTTTCATATTTCCTTCCTTTGTGACATTTGGACTTTATAGTTAGTTCATTTATTTTCTTTCTGGTACCTTTAAAGTTGTTTTATAAATCATTAGCAATCTATAATGTATTTTTTCCAGAGGGTATGAAGTGGGAACATTTTTTTCTCCACATAAATAGGCCAATTATTAATAGCATTTATTGACGTTTCCATTTTTTCTTTATTAATTTGCAATGTAACACATTGAATACTAAACTCCCATATATAAGGGCATGTGATTCTGTTCTATATTAGTGTGTCCCAAGGTAGGATCGCCCTGCTTAAATTGTCATGTTATTACTTTGTATTTTGATTATAGGACAATCTTCCCCTGATTTTTCTTTTTTTGTAAAATTGCTTTGGCTCTTTATATACATATATTCTTCCACATGAACCGTAGAATTAGCTAATCAAAATGAGTTTAAAGAATGCTTCTTCTATGTGTGTGTGAGAATAGTGTGTGTGTGTGTATGTGTGTGTGTGTGTGTATACATGCGACCATTACTTATATTATTTACTCTTGGTTCCTGATAGAAACATTTTTATCAAGCTAAATAAGTTTCTTTGTATTCTTGGATTCCTGATTTTTTTTTCTTAGTTCTTTTATTGTTTTGAATCCAGAATAGATGCTGAATTTTATTGAAGTATTTTAAGGACCTATACAAGGTGATGATGCTTGTTTTGCTCTTTATTCTATTAATAAAATACAAGTGAGTTAATTAACAGGTTCCCCAATAGCGAATCCTTGATTTTTTTCAAATGATTAAATTTTTCTCTTGAAAAGAGAATCTTTTTCTACTTGAAAAGATTCTAACCCAATTAGCTATAGATCCATATACTAAACCTTTCTCAAATGGGTAACACATTATGTGCTCTGCACCATAGGGTACAGCTCTGATTACAGTATTGCCTGGCATCATTAATTCCTATATATCCATTATTGATTTTTTTTAGGCTACTTTGCCTTAGGATATTGTGGATACTTTTACTGGCATGCATATGGTCACATTTAAGTCAGATCAGAAGTGATTAAAATGATGAATAAAAGGAAATTTATTTTTAAATAATTGGGTGTAACTATGCTTATTCAAAGGGGTTAGGGTGTCACTTAAGAGACTGGGTAGATACTTCTGGGTTTTCCAGAAAATCAATCTTTTCCTCCTAATTGTAGGCTTTTCTCTATTTATTTTAATTACCAGAATTACTATGTTCAGCCTGGATCCCTTTAATTTGTTCATAATTGAGCTTGTGTGGGTGTTGAGTTGGAAGCTCTCAGGAGCTGAATAACACAGCTGCCTCTTTGGCCTTTGGCATAGGGTTTTCCCCCAAAGAGCTGCCCTTGTTGGCAATGTGCCAGGGAGCTACATTCAAAGACTTTTTGATGAAGCATAAAAATCTTTAATTTCCAGGCTTGGTGTTTTATGACCCTGTAATACTGTTTAAGAATTAGTCTGAATTATTCAAGGGACAGAACCTCAGCATTTTGTCCCCTTTGTTGACCTGATCTATAGCCCCATTCAAAGTTAAGTTTAAAGGACTATTTTCCACAAGACTATTTTTTTTTAGAGTTTTTCCTCCTGTTTCAAATTGGCCATCCACTCTCATTTCAGAAGGGTGTCCTATAACACAGTTAAGAGAAGGCTGAGGGCAGTGCAGATGGAAGATGCTGGCCAGCTGTCCTGCCTCTGCTCAATGGGAGGAAATGAGCTTAAAGTGATGCATGAGGCATTTAGAAGAAATTCTAAGAAGTTTCCTGACAATGAAGATTGTTAACATTCCATGTCTCATAGTCTCTTTAAAAAGTGCATGTGTCTTAAATAACTCTCCCTAAAATCAAGACAAGAAATAAATTGGCCAATTTCCTTTCAAGATCTGTGATTCAGCAGTTTTTGTCTTGCGTTAGCTGCTTGTCCTATTTTTGTTGTAGTTAAAAAAAAATGTTTTTAAACTCCTCCAATTGAAGTAAATTGTAAATCAGCTGATTTCTTATATCTGCAGAGGTAAATATCTGGGATATATTTTGAGTATAACGTTTTCATAGATGTCAATTAGTTCTCCGAGAGAGGAGTTTGGCATCTCTAATATCAGGCCAAAGATGGGCATAAAAAGGATTCATTAACTCTGCTGCTCAAATGCTTTCTTTTA